CTAGCTACCACGTACGGTATTCGTCGCTACTATTGCGAGTAAATATTAGCTAAATCTTTACCACGTAATAGTAGGCTATTAACGCTATAAGAAAGGGATAAAAGACGTATTTTTTAGTTAATTTAAAATGACTCTTTTATTTGGAATTAAGATATTTTAGATTAAGCTAACCTTTAATGTTTTATACGCATATTAAATTAGTTTCTAGTTAAAGAGGGTATTTAACACTAAAAGGCCTTATAATAGCCTAAATAAATACTAAAGCTAGCTCGTAAAAGGCTAGAATTTACATGAAAATACCTTTGTAAGTCTCTTACCTTCTAGTAATATTAGATCTTCTTAAATAAGTGTATAATTAAGCGTAAAAAGAGAGAGAGGTAAAAGTTTATTTTTTACTAGAAAGTACGTTAAAAAGAATAATAAATTATAACTTTAATTAATATTTATAAAGCAAATAACTTCTTTTATAGTATATATAGCCTTAAAATAAGCCTATAAGGTATTCCTAGATATTCTAGGCTAGATTTACGTATAATAGAAGAACTTCTTTATACCTATTACTAGAAGACCTAAATTCTTAACGTAATAGCGTTACTAGCGCTCGAATCTTAAAATACCTTTAAATTAACTTTTAACTATTACTAAACCTAGTTATATATTTACCTAAGATAATGCTTTAATATATATAGCTTTAATCGTATAGGATTAGTTAAGAAATTAGGCTATTAAATATAACGTAAAATTAATAGATTAGCTTATATATTCGCTTAACTTAAACCCTATTTAAAATCTATGGAAAGTAGTTAAAGATAATATTATAAAGCGTTATTTAAAGCTTAAAGAAATAACCTTTAATAATACTAGTAAATAACGCTTATATAAAGCTATAATTAAGGCCTAAAAGCTTCTTAAAGATAACCTATTAAATAAGCTAATAGATTTAATACCACGGCGAATTATCGCGATTATACGCGCCTATAAGTGGTATATAAAATATTAATGTAATTTATTTAATAGATTAATTAATTGCTAGCTAGATCCTAAAAAGGCTAGCTATTTCAGCTAAAATTAGGCGTTAAACGCGCTTTTTTAGTTAATGTGTTGAGTGGCGAAATGGGGCGAAATTTTTACATTATCGTGACTTTTGTCAGGGCACTGTAACTGTCTCCTGACTCGACAGAAAGCCGGCCCTGGTACAAGATTTGCCACGTACACGTGGACTGGGCCGAACATGCCTCGGGACTTGGATTCAGGGACAAAATCCCCATACAGTTGCCTTGCCAGCTCGATGAGCTTCATAGGTAGCTGTGAGTGCCGAAACTGGACTACCTGAGCTGCCTCATCGCTAGACACAGTATAGCTAGTCGCGCCTTGTACTAATGTGGCGGAGACGGGACTACCCAAAAGGCTGGCCGCAAAATGATCGATTTCATTTCTCGCAAGTCCATGCTCATTGAAGAACTTGGTGATCTGGTAGGCCGAGAGTACATCATAAGCCTCCGGATTTGCTGCATACCGGGAAACGTCCATCGCGATGGAGACATGGAGACGCGATTGTCAGTGACAATACAATGAGCGAAGGTTGGCTCGGGGGTTGGGAGTTGGGGCTGTTTCATGAATTGCCCCACTTATTCTGGCCACACTCCAATCCCATCAAAAAGCAAAAAGGGGATGTGGCATGGGTACCACTGTACCACTGTACCAGTAACCTGGAGCGGTTGTGGCTTAAACCCCTGTGGGGAGTGCTCGCTAGCGCATTTATAAGGGTCAACTGGTTCAAATGTTGTCCTCGCGTTATCAATGCTTTAACTAGGTTTCTTCCTACCTATGCGGATAATAAATAATATTGTAATAGACAGCACATCGAGGTATACTACTAGTTTATTGCATGGGACATATAATATATGTAGACATAGATAGAGCTATCTAGTTGTAACTAGACTGTAAGGCTGTGGGGGCTGTGAGCAGACAACAACAACTAAAAAACAAGTAGAGAGGCAAGGCAAATGCGAGAGGTAGCACAGTTGAAGTGACTGTCCAGAACAAAAACCATGGATCAAACTTTATTGCCGTATAATGGCCTGTTCCAGGCTACAAGCCGAGCCATGAATAAATCAGAATTTGGCGATGATGAACCCCTTGTCAGTCAACGGCTTCAGGACATCTTCTTCGTGACGTGCTTAAATGACCAAACTTGGTGAGTCTCCACCCCGTTAACCACTTTCTTGGCCCAAGATTGGCCGGCAGGGGGCTCAGCGTCAGTAGGTTTGCCAGCGTTGTGCCAGCTAACAGGGACGAGTTCCCCGCCCTTCACAATGGATGCTGGGCAGCACGATAGTTCCTTTCTTACCCAACTCGAATTCGGCAGTGGGAGGGATTTACTGGCTATCGTCTTTAATAGGCCCCAAGAATTGAAGCCCAATCACATTGGATAGGTTGTTACTCTTGACGTAGTCGACGAAATCGTTGACAAAATCGGCATGTGTGTTGTCATCCTTGGACACAGGGATTGGGCCTTCTGCAAATTCGAAAGGGACCAGACAATTCCCCTCGGTGTTGAGCTTGAAGACGATTCCGTGGACGTTATTCGAGTCAAGAGAGTCGAACTGGGCAGGTTTCATCCATTTCCCAATCATAGCTTTGTGCGTTTCATCGAGCTTGCTCGGGTCAACGATTTCGGCAAGGACAGGTTTGATCAGTTCGTCAGGCATTGTCTTGAGCTCTACCTCGAGCTTGACCTGGCCAGCCCGAGTGTCCTCATGCTTGTGGAGTAGCTCGGCCGCGAACTTTCCAGTCATCTGGTGCTGACCAATGATGGTAGCAAGATTTTTGATGTGCTCTTGGCCAGGGCCCATATCGCTCGCTATTCATTCGAGGAAGCTTATTGCACCTTTAGCCGGTAACGTTGAGTTAATATAGACTTAACGTGAAGAGAGAAACTAGAGCATAAACTTACAGGGTGTTGGCCAATTTCATGTCATCTCTTGATAGGGGGACCTGAAACCCATGAATGTTCGAAACCATCATAACGCCAGCAGTTGACATTGTCCTTATTGACTAGTGAGTGGATAGTGTTAGAAACACAGGGAGGGCCCTAGCGGAAGTCAGAGATGGGTAAAGTGTTGTTTATGTAACGGGTGATCAATGAAGAGGGAGTTTCTTGCGTTATACCTATGGCAGTCAAGTGTTGAGAATACTAAATGAGACTCAAGCTTGTGGGCGTAGAGCGCCCTGTTGAGTCCTTTCCGCTCGGTAGCAATGCTGGCCCCCTTACTAGTTATTAGTTGTCGTGCTTGGCGAACCACTCCCAAGGCAATCTTTATATGCCCCCAACGACCTTCCCGCAGCGGTAAAAAACCGATGCCGCCATCTTAGAGTATCTATCTAGCAAGACGGATATACCTCCTGAAGCTACAGACAGAGTTCCAGCCATGACTATGATTGCTGCCATGGCTGCTCACGCCGCTGGGTGAGGATATATGTGACAAGGGCTCGATAGAGGGGTTGAAGCACAAGGACTCAATTCAATGATCATCTCGTAGGATGTCAAAGGTCCTTGGTTTCCTTAAGCCATGAGGCGAGGGGAGACCATCTTAGATACATGAAAGGAACGGCCCGTGCCTAGCGCGCCCCATAGTTCTCGTGATCCTATCGTGTAACAAAGAGCTTCTGATCCTTGCTTGACCTAATCCGTGTGACAATATAACCGTAATCGCAACATCCCAAGAGGAGCCAGGTGATAAAGGTTGTTGATTTTAAGTCTTCAGCGTGAAGCTCGTTTCTATTAGTATAGTTTCGTTTTCTGGGCAGTATAACAGTCGCAATCATAGTGAAGAAGTGCATTTGACTATTTGCTTCAAGTTAATTATTAACTTATTTAAAAAAATGCAAGTCAATCATACTTAAACATATAGCCTGTCACACGATTACACGAGGGCTACGATCACGACAGTCTCAGGTTTCGTCAAAGGGATTGGCAAGGTCAGCAACACCGGCACAAGCAACGTGAAAGCAGGCGTTGACGCGACCAACTTTTAATCTAAAAAGAAGCCACACAAGTCACTCTTGCTGGTTAATCGTGCGATTTTCCAGTGACCACTCGATTCCTCATTGGAGACGACGGCGTCGAGTTTTCAGCTCGCAGTTGTACCACCTACCACCTGCGGCTTACATGAGCACCAGTGCCGGTTCTAATCCGGTTCTTCATCACAAGGGATAACAAACGACGGGCTTCCGCGAGGCTCAACCAGCTCACAGGACGCGTCATGAATAACGACTTGGCCCTGGCATCTAACGACGACAACCTCGACTCGGGAGAAATCCAAGACGACGCCACCCAACACGGAAAGCGCCATTCCTTGAAACTCCAACTTGGCTGCTCAGCACCCGATTTCGAGGGGCGCTACTCCGGATGCCATAGCCGCACTTGACATCCACCACAGACGAGCCTCCCCGTCTACCTATTTGACAATCACGCTTAATTCAGCCACGCGCCGAAAAGTGAATCCTCTTTGTTTTAAGCGCGTCTCAAGAAGTGAAGATGTGTAAGAGGAAATGCGTTATCAGGAGTCTCTTCGCCAACAAAAAGCCAAACTGTTTCGACAATGTGAAGTTCCGGCCAATGGGAACTCCATGTATTCATCATCTACTATGGATAACGAATAATGTCGAGAGACCTTGGCGTCGTGTGAAGTTGTGAAAGAAACAATGTACTCAATTTCTACGTAAAGATGTATTCAAAACATTAGGCTAAGATGCTTGGAGGTCCCATCTCAGCTCTATCATCGAGGTTCAATATATATGCGCCCCGCTCGACTTTACTTTTCTTCTAGCTCTCATTACATGACTTCTTTTCATGGGGCCTGTCCCCTTTTGATTGTATTTTCTTTATCTCCCTCTATGAGCCTCCGTTCAAGTACCTTTTTTTATGCGTTGTAAGATTTCATCATGCTATTTCCCAAAGTCTACGGGCAATTATTGGCCGTCTACTTCACGCAAGCATCCGCCTCATGCGGATATGGGACGACTCTACAGCCCAGAGCAGAGGGAGGTGCTATCAAAGTGAACACGTTCGGTTATATAGGTATAAAGGTATACTCTCCATTCTTCTACTCGTTCTATTTCACCACCCTAGAGTTATGGCCTGTGTTTGCCAAACCATCAAGTCCAAGAGGTTGATGGATTATATGTGTACATTTGGGGTTCAGCCAACTGGGTTGCTCTCGACCCTGCAGCGAATGCTCTCTGCGTAAATGGGACAAATCAATCCCCCGTCAACATGGAACGCGGCTCCTTCAGCATGGCCCCAGGCGCGGAGTTGGGTCTCAACATCCCCGGTATGCCCGAAGGGACTGAATTTGAAAATCTGGGAACCACAATCGAAGTAGTTGCCAGGGTGCGACGGGGATCAGTACAAGCTCCAACAGTTTCATTTTCACCTCCCACGCGAGCATCTAGACAACTTGACCAGCATGGTCATGGAAATCCACATGGTCCGGCAGGGAGAAGCTGAGCAGGTTGCAGTTGTCGGTGTCTTTGTGGATCTTGAGGAGGGCCCGGGTCAAGCCGCCTCGGAATAAGCCAGTGCCAGGCGGCCTTCCATTACAGCTGAGAGATTGACCAGAGGAACGAGAGACACGACCAGGACTGGTGGCCGACTTCCAGCGTTGGAAAAATAGCTTCTTTCATGTCAACACCCCTGCAAATGTAGCCAAGAAACCGCCTGCACTTCTTGAAACAGATTCAGCTCAGTGGACAGCATTTCTGAGCCTGGGACGGCGGCTAAGACACAGCCTCTGGTGATGTCAGAGTTGGTCAACATGCTCTCGTCGGGGTCATTTCAAACGTGAGTTTTCTGCAACTGACGGGTTTCGTAATTAGGCATGTGTCTAATACGCTTGAAAACAGCTACGAGGGTTCCCTGACAACGCCGCCTTTGCTCTGAGGGAGTCCGGTGGCTTGTGTCTGACCAGAGGTTATCCATCCAACCAGGTACTTTTATGAAGGCAAGGTCGGTTATTGGATTCAACTCTAGATTCCCTCAGAATACCCTAGGCCAAACGAATATCCTAGCCGTCCCCTAGATGAAGAGCGGGAACAGATACAGGGTGACCCCCGGAACCATATTGAGGTACTGAGGTTATATAATCATTATCATGTGGCGTACACAGGGCGATTACGAGGAACCTAGAGTGCTGGAGAAGTTGTGTCTGTCCCAAGGCTAATTAGTCAATTCAACCTCCAGCACATTTCACATTCCGCTTATAAAGCTAAGAAATACAAGACGGGGCTCCCAGCCTTCAGCAACACCGGGGGCAGGAAACCCGTGAGCGCAAGCTAAAACATTCAAACTCCAAGTGTCGCAGCATAATTCCTAATGCCATCCTATTCCCGTTTTGTCTTGGCGTCCAAATTATTTGTGTCATGTAGGTGGATCGTGCTGATGTGCCCGCATGCCAAAAGGCTTGTCTGGGGAACCATGTCTCATGCAATGTTTGAGTACATACTACATAACTTGTAGTTATTGTCGCATACCCCGCCAAGACAACTGCATCGGGTAAACGAGTTTCGTAAATGGGTGACATCCCTTGTGGATGGTGCTTACGGCGGCCTCATCGTGGAAACAACGTTGGTGAGTTCACTTTCGCTCCATTGGATCCAATATGTTTAAGCGACATTGAAAAAACTAGACGTCATCGTATCCTACATAAAAAGGAGAACAGTGCGAGAGAAGTGTTTTGAAAGTCAGTTCTGGATTCTCTTCTCACCACGCAGCCTTCTACACATTACAGTCAACGCACTACCAGGACGGGTTGCACCAGAAACATTACGTCGATCAACTACTAAAGCAACAATCGCCAATCTGAAGATCGTACAAGCGCGATCTACAGTCCTTGCCTCCCTGCTATCCTCTGGAATGTTCGCTACTCCTAAAGCGAATCAGGCGACAGCTTCTGGCGGCACAAGACACTATTCAGTGAGTCTAAGCGTACTCGTTGGCAACACAGTAACTGGAATGCGTTGCTCCTCACAACATCGAGCTTCAGGGGAAAAAGGAGATATATTCCTGGAGGCCATGGAGCCCAAGCCCTTCAATGGAAACACCAAGCAAAAGGCTCCGTTTACTTTCTAAAGGAGCCATTTCGTAATCATCACTAATCTTTTCACCGCAGCCTTTGTATTTAACTCTTTTTTCTTTAATTCGATTTTGCTCCAATGGTTCTGCCGGGGAACTTGCTCAAGCTGGGGCTAGGGCTCAATCCACGTCGAGATCTTCGTTCCGGACAAGACGGAGCCCTCGTCCGCGTTGACAATGCCGCTCAAGGTATTCCGTCGTACGCGACGAATATTGAACGTTTTCATTACACGGTGAAACGGGCGCGGAGTATTATTGAGAGCCGCGATACTACCGTGCCCGTGCCCAAGTCAGAACTTCATAGTATTTTGACCAAGATTGAAGAACTGGAGCGGCAGGTGAGGGCGCTGATGAATGGGGACAGCGCTGAACCTACTTCGCCTACTCCTAGATTGGGGCCCGGATCCTCACCTCCTTCTGACAACAAGTACGGCTCGGGCGGTGCCAGTGACCAGGACTGTGATGCAGAGAACTTGATCTATGACCTGGGAGCGAGAGCCGTTGTGGATGCGGACGGACATGTAAGTGGACACCCTTTATTCCGTAGAAATGCTAACTGCCCCATGGAATCGGCCGTCAATGGCAAGAATTCTGCCAACGCCAGTGGTTCAAGTGATTCTCCCAAGGGATCTGCTAAAAGCGGTACGGCTGCCAATGGAGGGGATCACAAAGCAAATCCAAACGCCTCTCCTCCAACTGGCGATGCCTCCGCGTATAACCACAAGTCCGGCCATTCCATGGGTACAGACACCTCCCCAGGAGAAAAGCAGAAGGCCAAGGCAGAGGGTGGCAAAGGAGCTGCCGTGCTTGACGTACCTGCTAGCGAAGCTCACACCGGCTCGCCTCAGGTCGTGTCAGCCACGGTAGAAATGGTTGAAGTCAAGATTGTGCCCGTCAATGGGGAGCTTGTCACGGCGACAGTTACCAGGACAACCACCAGACTATCAACGGTCACGGTTGGACGACAGCACAAAGCCACAGACTCTGCTGCAAAGGAGACCTCGGACGACACTGGCGTTGCAACGAAAGAACCCCAAGACGGCACCAGCAAGGGTGTTGAGAAGCCCAAGATTACTCAGAATGTTCCCATGGCACCCGGATCTGGCAGCTTCGCGCAGTTTTCCAACGACACCTCCAATTTCTCGAATAGCACTACGGCTAGCAATGCTTCCCTGGTTGAGGACCATAAGACAGCGAATATCACTGTTGATGAGAAGAAGTCTTTCAATCGCACTTCTATCGAGGAGACGAAAGGGCCTGAGCCAATTAACAACGCACCCGTCCAAGGAATTGAAAAAAAGGGAAATACCACAGCCCCTCAGGACGCGGTGAGCCTCACTCCAGAAGGATCTGCCAATCATACCGCCACGCCGGACAGGGTCGTCAGCACTCCTAGCCAGCAAACGGCGAATCTCACCGAGACTGAAGACTTGGGGGCAAAGGCCTCCACCACGACGTCAGATAACGTCGTCAGCACTCCTAACCAGCAGGCGGCGAATCTGACTGGGGCCGAAGGCCCCGGGGGAAAGACCTCCAACACCACGGCGCATCAAGTCGCCACCACTCCTAATCAGCAGGCGTCGAATCTCACTATGACTGAAGAGTCCGGGGACACGGCCTCCAGCACCGTGGCAGATGAGGCGTCCTCCAGCAGCGCTTCTGACCCAGAGACAAACTTCGCCCCAGACACCAACAATCCAAACGAAAGGGTCAAGATTATCACCGTCGTCCCCATCCCAGCCCAGTTGGCCAGCGCGTCACCTGCCACGGCTACTGCCGCCGTGACACCAGACATGGCGGGGGAGAAGCCCGAGCCGGTCACCAGTGCTGCAATTGGAGCCAACGAACCTGCGCCCCGAGCGGAGACGGGTTTCAAGACGGTGCGTGTGCCCTAGTCCAAGTGATTGATGTACGGGACAGCAGGGCGAGGGAAGGATGGATGGCCCGGGGGTGCAGTAAGAATCAGGTTTTCAAATTGGCAACACGGCATTTGACTTTGTTTACGCCGTAGTCTGTACGCCTTCGTTTATAATTTTCCTTTGTCGGACTTTTCTTGGGCTTCGGCAGGTACGCATGCTTTCGTACCTTACCTTGATAATTTGGGTGGGATCCTATTGGGCATATATGATAATAAATGGTGGAGAAGACGGGACGGGCAGGGACTCGGGGCTCAGATAGCACAACAACTCACGCAGATAGCGATAGTTGCTCACTCACTTTTTTTTCTGTCTTGGCTGCTTGACCATGACACACCTGTCCAAGGTGGATGTTGTTGCGTAATAAGAATGCAGCCCGGCTCGAGCAAAGACGTGCGAGCCCTAACCCATGTAAGACGCATATTGGCAACGAGTGCGAGAGAACAAGAAGCAAGGCATTCGGCAGGTCCACTTTTGCCTGAACGGCGTACACGCAGAATCCAACAAACATGACATGGCCCGGGTCCGATCTCGTCGTCTGTGGCCGGAACGATTCCGGCCAATGGGCCAACGAGAAGCCAGATACGGCGCAGATTGGGCCAGATTGAGGCCGGGCAGAGTCGGCATATGTGGGGCTCTGCGCCTCATACGGACAAGTACGGAGTACCTCCACAAATACCACCATGGAGAAAGGACTCCATGTCCGTCACGGGCGAGACGACCAGTGCCACGGAGAGCATTGTAAAGCATGACCATCTCCCCCGGATTTCGCACTCTCGGATACACGCTGGACAGACACGCCCGCCGCCACCGCGCAAGACATCCGGCCGAAAGGCAGCAACATTCAAGGCTCAAGCCGCCGACTTTGTCGTTGACGATGCGTGGCCGTGGAGGCCCCGAGCCGCCGAGCTGTCTCATCCGCATACCAAACGTGCTCGCCGCGACGACAACGTCCCAGCTTTGCTTCTGCATTTCTCTTACGTGGCAAATGCAAAAGGGACGATAGCCGTCCTTCCAATGACGGGCCAGACTGAGGGTCTCGCGCTCCGATGTTGCTGCGCATCGTGACCCTATCCCCGCTTGTGAGGCCGGAATGCATTCCGGCCACGGGGTACTTAGGCGGCGCCGCGAGCCCGGATGTTGAGTTGGAATTCTGGTTCTGTCCAATTCATCCCCCAAACAGCCTTGTATCGAGCGCGGCGTGCACGCCTTTAATTTTATTCCATTTTTGCCATTTCACTTGGTCCCCGACTTGCACACTTTGCGCTAGGCACCACCCACACCACTTACACGCCTTGAACACTTATACACACACACACACACACTCTCTCTCTCTCTCTCTCTCTCTTTTCACGTATACACACACACAACACACACACACAATGGGTTCCATTGGCACCGCTCCCCCCTTCCGGGTCCTGCAAGATGCTCGTCCCGACGACAAGTCCCTCCCTGCCTTCATGGTGTCCACCACCCGAGGTTTCCTCCCTCGCATGGACCCCGTTGTCACACTGCCCAAGGAGTTTGAGCCTCTCGAGTCGTTGTTGCAGCGCATGCCTGTCAAGACGCTCTCCGGAGAGCCGGGTCTCCTTGCTTCCGGCAAGTTGGGTCATGCCGTGGACAATGAGTTCCCTGACCTGACCGACGAGATGGACAAGTTCAAGGACGACTTGCCCATGATGAATGCCCTGTACCGTGACTACTCCTTCTTGGCCTCTGCTTATCTGCTTGAGCCCTGCCACGAGCGCTTCGTCAGGGGCGAGGAGTACGGCCTCGGTAGGCAGACTCTGCCCAAGAACATCGCACGGCCTATTGCCCGCTGCGCCGAAATGTAAGCCCTTCTCCCACCACGCTCTCCCAACACTTGCCCGCTTGTATATGCATGCACGTACATGGTCCTGACACGTCGTTGCAGTGCCGGCTTCATGCCCTTCATGGAGTACGCCGGCTCATACGCCCTCTACAACTACCGCCTGCAAGACCCCGAGCGAGGCCTGGACTACTCCAACCTCCGTCTCATCCGCGCCTTCGAGCACGGCCTTGACCCTACCTCGTCAGAGGCCGGCTTCGTCCTCGTCCACGTTGACATGGTCAAGAACTCGGGCCCCCTCGTCGCCGGCGTCGTCAAGTGCCTCGACGTCGGGTCCAGCATCTCCACCCCCCTGGGCACCGTCCAGGAGCGCACCGCCTTCAACGAGGGCCTGGCCGACATCCTCGGCGCCCTGCAAAAGATCAACTCGGTCATGGAGACCATGTGGGGGAAGTCCCGTCCCACCGAGTACACCAGCTTCCGCACCTTCATCTTCGGCATCACCTCGCAGTCCATGTTCCCCGACGGCGTCGTCTACGAGGGCCTCAACGACGACAAGCCCATGTCGTTCCGCGGCGAGAGCGGCGCCAACGACTCCATGGTGCCCCTGATGGACAACCTGCTCCAGGTGCCCATGCCCGACACGCCCCTGACCGACATCCTCAACGACTTCCGCAAGTACAGGCCGAGCAACCACAAGGACTTCCTGCTGCACGTCAAGGACGTCTCGGAGAGGCACGACCTGCGCAGCTTCGCCCTCGCTCTCAAGGCCAAGCCCACCGCGGACGAGGACAGGGACCTGGTTCGGGAGTCGCGGAGCCTGTGGCTGCAGATTCTCGACCAGGTGCGTGACTTTCGCTGGCGCCACTGGTGCTTCGCTAGGGAGTACATCCTCAAGAGGACTTCCCACCCGACTGCTACCGGCGGCAGCCCGATTGTCACCTGGTTGCCCAACCAGCTGGAGGCTGTGCTGGCCGAGATGGCCAACGTCAATGAGATTGCCAACAAGGACGACGCGCGGGGCTTGGGCAAGACCTGCGAGAACGTCATGGACGCGGCCCTGCGGCAGAGAGATGCTCTGCGCAAGGAGGTGGACAAGTACTGCGCTGAGCGTGGCGTTTCGCGGAGTTGAGTCGGGGTACGAGGTGTATGTGAAAAGAGAATGTTTGACAGCAACGAAGAAATTCACCTTGTAGTTGATTTGGCGTCTGCTGGCGTCTGCTGTGGTCGTCGAGTATCTACATTGCCAAGCGTGTAACAGTTTTACGACTCGTTCTTTTGTGACCTTTTTTGTCCCCATCATGACCCAAGCTTTACTGACTGGCTTTTTTGCCTTGCATGGTCCGTATTTGCCTTGTCAAATGCTTTGTGAAACTCCTCAAACTAACCGGCACTGTGCTCCTACGGCTGACCCAGATTCCCTTCTTCGCCGTGGCCCTTGTATCATGGCGTAGCCAAGTCCATTGGAGGCCTTGTTTGACATCATCAACATGCACGAAATTGCGTTTGGTCGACTTGGTTCATGCATGTACTACTGTTTATCCTTCCGGAGCCTTTTCTGGAAGCTTATTCCGTGCATCAAGCTTCGTGCTAGGGCATCGCTAAATCTTCTTCTATTACTCTGGTCAACTGCAGCCCTAGGCTGAAAGGATGCAATGCAAAACTCAAGGTCAGCGCTAGTCACATAGTTGTAGCATGACTTTGCTCACTCGTGCAAGCCTAGCCTCAAAAAATTCAAGACGGCGTGAAGACAGAGGTTGTTTCGACAATGAAAGGGGAAAAAAGTGCTCCTCTAGGTAACTGGCTATCGCGCTCTAGGCTTCAATATACCATAGTGAATTAGCGTCGATATACTTTTCAAGGGATTTACTGCAAGCTACCAGAGAGCCTTTGCATGTGGCCAGCTCCGGAGAACAAGTTGGTTGTTGTGGGCATCAATCTGCAGGCGGCCATCACAACTGGCAAGTTGTCACAAAATTCCAAGTATATAAAGATCATCCCAATACTCGTGCAAGCACCACAAGCAAGTCCCAACTGTACAAGCACTATTCGCCGAGCCGGACCCAAACCAGGGAACCGTTACCTACCGAGTATGACACTGTCGGCGCATCGCGACGCGTAAGAAGCTAGTGGATTGGTGATTCATGAAGCACCAAGATTCAACTAGCTGGGAAATGAACCATATCCGCTAGTTTCAACTCATCCACGACGGCCTAATATATATGGAGAGAGAGAGAAACCTCCCCCGGGCACAAATGCGATGCTGGTTCTGTTTGTATCCCAAACACACTCGTCAAAGCAAAAATCATGCTCATCCTGCCAGCCGTCCTCGGTCTTCTCAGCGCCCTCGCAGCACGGCCCGCCATGGCCATCAACGGCGGCGAAACCGTTCCATTTGGCACGTTCCCCTACGTCGTCAGCATGCACCGGCAGCACGAACAAATCTGGAACTTGGTGCCGGTGGGCAAGGGCAAGACTCGCGACAGAGACCGGTGCACCGGCGTGCTCATCTCCAAGAATCTTGTCCTTACCGCCGCCATCTGCATCGGATCCCAGAGAAAAGGAGAGACAATGGTCACGGTCAACGCCACCGTCCAGAGACGACCGAAAAAGTACGGCAACGTGGTGCAGCTGAAGGACTACTGGTATCCCCACGAATACCTCAAGCTGGACGGCGAGTACGACATTGCCATCTTCGAGGTCCAGGACACGCACAACGTGACTGAATTTGCAAAACTGCCCTCGAGGGGCCAGGTTCCCCGAGAAGGAGAGCTGGCCATGGTCCTCGGGGCGGGAATGGTGCTGTGGTTTCCCATCCCGGACGTTCCCCTCAAGAATCTGACTGTGCCCGTCATCAACCTGGAGAGCTGCAGAGCCCGCATGGCAGACGTCCAGACTATTGGCACCGACAAATTCTGCACCAGGCAGTGCTTTGACTCGGACTACTACGGCATATGCGAGGGCGATTGGGGCGGCCCGGTCATGATAAACGACACCGTCGTCGGCGTCGTAGCCCAGTCACCGACATGTGTCAAGAGATTCAGGGCGTGCTATCCTGGCATCATTACAATTGTCGCGGAGCATCTTACATTCATCGAGGAAACCATGTCCATCTACCAGGACTCCTTCATAAATGACGGCAGACCCTGGACGAAGAGACCCTTTTCCAAGTCCGAAGGGGATCTCCGTTGGTGACTGGATTATACGACTGTCTGGGGTACCCGGAGCTTTTTTTTTTTTCTTTTTTGAGTTTTTCGAGTTTTTTCCCTTCTCCCCATCTCTATCCTAATGGCAGCAATGATTATCACAAACGCTTCCACGTTCCTTGTCAAAATAACTACAATGTCCATCCGAATTGAGTCATTTGCATGCAAAGCAACCAACAGCCCCGACCTCATTGGCCCAACCGCCACCAACATCAAGCAGCAGTAGTCATACTGTACTACACAATAGCAGACAATAGCAGAAGGCGGCGTGCACAGACGGGAGCGTGGGCTCCCGGCTCGCATCATTGTCCTCAACAGAGGGCAGTATCACGACGCGGTCCGGCATCACGCATCTCGCGGGGGGCGTGCCGAAATTCGAAAAGAAAAGAAGACGAGGAGGAAGAAGGAGAAGCAGAAGAAGAAGAGCAGCCGTTGACCCCCTCCCGGCCATTGCGCCATGCCAAAATCTGTTGCCAGAGCGATCCGACCAACAGGATAGCCACCGGCCAGGAATCACCAGTCACCTCCGCCATGTCTCTCGACTCCCCGTCCCGCACGCTCTCTGCACCGACGACGCTTCCTAAACAATCGCCCACGTCCGCGTCCGCGTCCACGCCGGCCGCCGGATCGCCTCCCTTGCTCGCCAGGCGCGACGGCACCTGCGGCGATGGCCATCACAACTGTACGAACCCCCCCCCCCCCCCCCCTCCACCTCCTGCCCGCACTCTC